CAGAGCCACATCTAGTAATAGGATATTAAATCATCAGGTATACTGGGATACCTAATGGTGAATCACTTTGTCTGGGAACATGTGTCATATCTCCTTAACTCTTAAATAGCTACTGTGTCATTTAATTAAGAATAATGACTCCTACAAAACTTTGTTCTGTCTGGAGTTCTTTTTTATCTTTTATTTTTATTTTTCATTTTACTGGGGAAGGAACCAGGGGTGCTCTACCACTGAGCTATATCCCAGATCTTTTTATTTCTTATTTTGAGGCAACGTCTCTCTAAATTGCCCAGAATGGCCTCAAACTTGTAATCCTCCTGCCTCAGCCTTCCCAGTAGGTGAGATTACAGGCATGTACCCAGCTGGAGTTCTTTTCTTAATTGAAAAAAGAGCAACTTTTGAATTCCAGTGGATGTTCAACCAACTTAAATATAGCAAATTGCAAGCATGCACTTAGCAGTAACTGTTCAAACATGGTAAGGCTGATCTTCCTCAATTCCTGCCAACAAAAAGAGGACCAATGCTCCTTTTCCTCTAAAATTTCTTGACAATTACAGGGTCAATTTTGAGGCATTCAAAAATTAGATCTTTAACACGCTGAATAAAATGAATGAAACCAACAAGAACAATTACACCAGATTGCAAAGGTAATTACAAATCCCTATCCTATTCACTAAATTTGTTGGTTTGTAACTTGAGGACACCAGAACTTCCTAAAATTGTCAGGATCCCTTAAAGAAAGATTTCTCAACTAAGACACAAATGACATTTGAAGCCAGATAATTCTGTTGTGGGTGGCTGTCTTGTGCATTGTAGGATTGGGCAGCCTGGCAGTCTCTGCCCACTAGATGCCAGTAGCACCCACTCCTCACAGATACCCAAAAATGTCTCCATACTTTCCCAAATGCCCCCCCCCCAGGAGCAAAGTCACCTCCAATTGAGAACCTCTGCTGTGAATAGATGGCAATAAATAAAAAAAAAAAATTAAGGCACTTCGGAACAAGACGGAATTTTAAGGAGATCGAACACCAGGAATTCTCAAACTTTACTATGTATCAGTCTTTCTGGGGAGCTCGTTAAATGCTGATTCCCAGGCCGCGCCCAAGAACTATCAATATTGTCAAGTACTGGGTTCACCTACATCACTACCCACATCCTCATTCTATGGATAAATGAACGTGGACCTTAGAACGAAAATGCCTTGCCCAAGGTCACAGGGCAAGTTGGAGCCTGGACTATAAAACCAACCAAGCCCTTCTTCCCAAGGGTGGGTGGGGTAAGGGTGTGTGTGTTGTTCTTATGCCTTTGAGGCAACAGAGCTTAAAAATGGTAAAGGTGATGCATTCTAGAGCTACCCCCCCCCAGTTAAAATTCCGGTATTAATGGGGGGGGGGGGGCAGCCTCAGGCAAAGCAAGTGCTCTGAGAGCCTCAGTTTCCTTCTCTACTAAATGAAATAATAATAGTACCTACCTCCTAGCGTTATAGAAAAGGTCAAAAAGGATGACACACAAAATTCCCAGGGCCGGGCTGGGCCTGGCATTACAGAAAACACACGACACTTATCCTGTTATAATTACTGTCCCACGGCTGCAAAGCTGAAAGGGGCTGAGGGTCCCTGGAGGGAGAGCGCTGGAAATGGGCTCAGCAAGACCCAACGACCCCCCAACTCCTTCCGCCCCACAGCTCACCTGGCCCCGCAGCTCCTTCTCCAGCTGCCGGTAGTCGTTGTTCCAGACCAGGAGGTGCAGGGGGAAGTGACTGCTGGCGTCGCCGGTCGAGGACATGGCGAGGAGCCCGCGGCCGGGGTCTGGCCGTCCGCCAGGCAGAAGCCTCGGTCCCGGCGGGGTCTCCGCCGCCCGCCCGGCGGCCGGCAAGCGGAGAGAAGAGGAGGAGCGGGAGAGCGAGCGAGGGACGCGGTAGGCGGCTGGGCGGCCTAGCGGGCCGGGTGTGGGGCGCGTGAGGWCTGGGGGTCGCGGGCCGGGTCGGGGACCGGGTCGGCCGCGCCCACCCCGCGCCCCGCCGTGCTCGCGCCCGCACTGACAGCTCCCGAACCGACTTCTGCGGGCCGAACTGCCCCAAACAGGGAAGTGCGAGGGGCGTACCACCGCGCGCCGCGGCAGGAGGGGCCGAGGACAGGCAACGGGTCCGAGGTCCGCCAGGTCCCATCCACCTCCACGTCCACACCGCGAAACATAGTGACACACACAGAGTAGAGCTGCGGTTCTCTCCTTTGGCCTATGATCTCAGCGTGAGAAACTCTATCTCGCCGTTATCAGTCTCTCTCCCCCTGCTCCAGCGACTTGAGGTGGTTCGGCCCACAACTGGGCCTCTTCCATTGGCTCTACAGTCAGGGGGTGACGACAGGAGCCTGGATCAAACCATTCGGGCTACTGACTCCCTTGCAACCTTTTTGGACCGGGGCAGATCCTGCTACGATTGGTCAGAAGCCATTTTGGAAGTGGGCAACACCAAATAATTTTCAAGGAGTTACTACCAACCCTAGAGAGGTGGCTTGAGATGTTTGCATTGTAAGGGGATAATTCTGTCTCCGGATTTCGTAACCTTGAAACATTTTGAGCTGGATAAATCTTTGTGTGGAGGTTATAAGATGCTTTGTGAGATACCGGGCAGCATCCTTGGCTTTTCTACCTACTAAATGTCAATAGCACTCCCCAAAACATGTCTCCAGATATTGCCAAATGTCCTCTGGGAAAGAAAAATCACCTCTAGTTGAGAATCACTGTTCTCTCTGAATTCCAAACCGGGTTATGACTCAAAGCTGCCTATAGTGGTGGTTTACTCCATTTACACACACACACACACACACACACACACACACACACACACACCCCACAGTGAATTGGACCCAGGCGTGCTCTACCACTGAGCAACAACGCCAACACTCCTTCCCTTTTAAAAACTTTTATTTCGAGACAGGATTCCACTAAGTTGCCAAGGCTGCAAGTGGTCTTGCAAACCTCCTCCCCAGCCTCCCCAGTTATAGGCATGGGGTTATAGGCATGCACCACTGTCTTAATGAAGAAACAATCACCATTTCTGCCCACCTGTCTACAACTAGATCACATAACTGGTCAAAGTTATTCAATGCATTCTGAAAACATTCCCTCTGTCTTCCTTGCCTATGTGCACGCAGCTTTTCAGATGCCTGCAGCAGCTGTTCAAAAATCCTGGCCTAATCCATTCTCCACACGTGTGGAGTGAAGCCCAGAAAATTTGTGAGTTGTTGAACCAAAACAGGACGCAAGAGCATCAGGATGACACCAGAAACTCTAATAGAGGGATGTGTAGGAATTACATGTTGATGTCCACATTACACATTTATCACAATGAAGAGAAGGACTTAACACCAGTGCTTCTGAGGCCTCTTTAGGAGTTGTTCTTTTAGAAGTCATGTGAAACTTGATCTTTTTTCTCTTCAACATCCCACGTTTATTGAACATTTCTCCTATCTCAGTCTGAAAATTTCACAGTGGCTGCAACCACATCTGTTTTGCTTACCAGATAACCAAAATAATACCTGGCCCACAACAGGCATCCAATATTTGATCAATGGAGATCATAGTTTTATGTTTACATGTACCACATAACAATAAACAGCCAATTACTATTAGAGTCACACCTGTTTTTTCCTTCATTCTGATTAACCTCACTTCATTGAATTCATCTCATGACATTCTGTGAATTACTCTAGATTAGCTATTATTTTCAAATTCCAAGTTTATGAAGAAAAAGCAGTAATTAGGGGCTGGGGTTGTGGCTCAGCGGTAGAGGACTCGCCTAGCACATGTGAGGCCCTGGATTCCATCCTCAGCACCACATTAAAATAAAGGTATTTTGTCCAACTACAATTAAAAAATATWTTTTTAAAAAAGCTACTAATTATTGAAGGCTTACTATGGAGCAGGCGTATCACATTTTCCCATAGCTTAATCCATTTCTCTAGCCAGCTAGTAAATATTTAGTTTTGCTGGTTACATACAAATTTTGTTACATATTCTTCTTTCCCATTCATTCTCATTCTCATTCATATTCCCTCTCCGACTCCCTCCCCTCCTCCCCTTCCCTCCCCCTCCTCTCCCCCCTCCCCCTCCCTCC